CAAAAGTCAATCACTTTTCTGTATAACAGCAATGAACAAGTGGAATTTGAAGTTTAAAACAGAACACCATTTACCTTAGCATCCCAAAAATGCAATACTTAGGTACAAGTCTAACAAAATACATACCAGATTTATATGAGAAAATCAACAAAACTGATGAACAAAATCAAAGAACAAAATAAATGGAGAGATATTCTATGTTCATAGATAGGAAGACTTCTTATTGTGAAGATGTTGATTATTTCCAATTTGCTCTATAAATTCAGTGCAATCCCAAGCAAAATATCAGAAGTCATTTGTGAATATCAACAAACTGATTTTAAAGTTAAATGGGCAGGCAAAAGACCAGAATAGCCAGCAAAATATTGAAGGAGAACAAAATTGGAGGACTGATACTCCTCAACTTCAAGACTTACTATAAAGCTACACTAGTCAACATAGTGTGGTATTGGTGGAAAAATAAAAGACAAATAGATCAGTGAATCGGAATAGAGAGCCCAGAAATAGACCAACATAAATATGGTCAACTGATCTTTGACAGAGGAGCAAAGACAATACAACGGAGCAAAGATGATCTTTTCAACAAATAGTGCTGTAACAATTGGACATCCACATGCAAAAAAATTAATCTAAACACAGACCTTATGCCCTTCACAAAATTGTACTCAAAATGGACCATAGATCTAAATGTAAAATACAAAACCATAAGACTCCTAAAACATAAGAGAAAACCTAGATAACTTTGGATATGGTGATGATTTTTAGCTGCAACACCAAAGACATGATTCATGAAAGAAGTAATTGGTAAGCTGTACTTCATTAAAATTAAAAACATTGCTCTATGAAAGACAATTTTAAGAGAGTTAGAAGCCAAGCCACAGACTGGGAGAAAATATTTGCAAAAGACACATCTGATAAAAGACTATTATCCAAAATATACAAAAAAAAACTCTTAAAACTCAACAAGAAAAACAAACAACCCAATTAAAAAATGAGTGAAAGGCGTCATCAGACACCTCTCCAAAGAAGATATACAGAGAGCAAGTAGGGATATAAAAAGATATTCCTGGGCTGGGCGCAGTGGCTTACACCTGTAATCCCAGCACTTTGGGAGGCTGAGGCAGGTGAATCACCTGAGGTCAGGAGTTCAAGACTAGTCTGGCCAACATGGGGAAACCCCATTTCTACTAAAATTACAAAAATTAGCTGGGCATGTCCTATGTCAACAGGCATCAGGAAAATGGAAACTAAGACAACAATGAAATACCACTTCACGCCTATCACACTGACCAAAATCTGGATAGCACCAAATGCCGGTGAGAATGTGGAGCAACTCTTATTCATTGTAGGTGGGAATGCAAAATGGTACAGCCACTTTGGAAGACAGTTTGGCAGTTTCTTACAAAACTGTACATACTCTTACCATTCAGCACAACAGTCATGCTTCTTTCTATTTACCCAAAGGCATTTAAAAAAAAAACTTATGTTGACATAAAAACCCTCACATGGATGGTTATAGCATCTTTATTAATAATTGCCAAAACTTGGAAGCAAGCAAGATGTCCTTCAGTAAATGAATAGACAAATAAACTGTGGCACAAACAGACAGTAGAATATTATTCAACACTGAAAAGAACTATCAAGTCATTGAAAAGACATGAAGGAAACTTAAATTCATATTACTAAGTCAAAGAATCCAATCTGAACAGACTACATGCTATGTAATTTTACCTATATGACATTCTGGAAAAGGCAAAACTGTGGAGACTGTAAAAAGATTAGTGGTTGGCAGGGGATATGAATAGGTGGAACACAGAGGAGTTTGGGGGCAGTGAAAATACTCTATGATACTGTAACGATGTTATACATTTGTCCAAACCCACAGAATGTACAACTGAATGCTAATGTAAAGTATGGATTTTTTAGTGATAATGATGTATCAGAGTAGTTTCATTAATTCTAAAAAATGTACCACTCTGGTGAGGGATGTTGATAATGGGGAGGCTATGCATGTATAGGGGCAGGGTATATGTGCAAACTTTCTGTAACCTCTGTTCAGTTTTCTTGTGAACCTGAAACTCAAAAATATTTAAAGCCAAATGAAGCTAATGTACTAAGCCATGAATCAAGTTTTTGGAATAACCCCAAATAGAGGAACAATTCCAAGTGTTTTAAAAACATAGTAATTTGGGTGCATATTTCAAGGGGCTGCATTCTAAGGATAAAAGAACTACAAAGAAAAAAATTGTAATGTTTTAAGTAATTATATAGTTAGTGGTAATGCTGGTATTTGGTTACTGTTGAGTATGTACTGCAGGAAAGTGCAAGTGAATATTTATATTGTTGTTATTGAATATTGGGATGTTTGGCATGAAAGAAAGGAGATTCCACTGTAAATTGATCAGGTTAAGTAAAAACTATAGCCCTGGATTTATTTAAAGGTATTAATTTGAACCATATGAAATTGCTGTTTCTCTAGTCAAAAACCATTGAATCTTGGCAACTGAATAGGGTTCAACATAATGCCAGCATGACCCATCAATGTATTTTGTCTCTTAGAAAATCATGTATTTCCTGGTTCTGTCCTTTGAAATGTTCTAGAAACAAGAGCCAATCTCATAGCAATTTGCATGCTTCTTGATTCTTGGACCCAGATTTGAGTGACCAGTGTTACCTGGTGTGCCCAGACTTCCCAGTTTCAGCACCGAAATTTCACATCCCAGGAAACTCCTCAGTTTCAGGAAAACCAGGATGATTGGCCACCTTCACCCAGATTATGGTATCTAATTACCATTTCCCATGAAAATGAACCAGGGCCTTTGGGACAGTTGGCTGATTCCATATCTGGCACATGGAATGCATTAAAATAAGCCTTGAATATCTTGTTTTACCACATAACAAGAAAGCTATCAAAAAGACTTACTATGATGGTACCAACAGGACTCAGGAGCCACTCTGAAGAGGTTCCTCTGGCCAAAAATAAGACAATTGGAACATCAATAAGAATAACAACTTCAGTAGATTGAAACACATCAATTGTGCTCAGTTTATGAGTTCATAATGGTACTAAAAACAAATTTAAAAACTCATTGGTCATCTCTAGAGAATGCTTGGGAGCTAACTCATTATTTTGAAAAAACGGTAAAGAAAGAGAAGAATCAAACACTGCTTTTCCTTTATAAACTGAACCTCAGAGTAACCACGTTGTTGATGGGGGCAGTTTATCTTTATATGAAGATTGTAGTTAGTAAAGAAGGAATGATAGACTAAACCACTCTGCAAACCCTTGACGAAATTATGGCTCTAGACAATGATTTTCAATGGCATTGACATCATGAAAAGAAAAGCAACCAGGCATTGTATGCCACCTGAGGAAAGTATACAAACACTACTGGGGGAGTATTATTGCCAAAGAAAATCTGAATTCTGCTACTAAAGAAGGGAAAATGATGTTCAGGGGCACCTATCAGTTTCTTCTCAAATCTGACCAATAGGTGGCTGCCTATTTGTTCCAACACACCTGTGTTCTTAATAAAAGGAAAGTGTGATCTTATTCTTATTTATTCATTCATTTTCTCTCTCTCTTCCTCCTCTCCCTTCCTTTCCCCTCCTTTCCCATATCCATGTCACATTTGCTCTTAGTGACCCCTCCCCAATCCTTTAGCAGTGCACTGTGTACTCTGATTTTGGATTTTCAATAGCTGGATAGAGTTTACCTCGTGAACATACCACAGTTTTTTGTGAAAACAAGGGGCTGCTGTGAAAACAACTTAGGTTATTTTTGCCTTATGGTATACTAAGTAAGGCTGCAGTAAATATCTTTGTGCCTTTTTAGGGGGAGAAGAAGGGCACACCATTGGTAATTTCCCCAGGGTGACATCTTAGAAATGGAATTGCAGAGTCACAAAATATTAATAGAGATACCAGTAACATCTACTCAATAGGTTAATGACAATATATAACAGCTGTTCTTAAGTGCAGCTACCCTATGAGATAAGTATGTTTATTAGTCCCATGTATAGTTACCCTAGGAGAAAATGGAGGCACTGAGAGGTTAAGGCACTTGCCCAACATTGTAATGACTTAGTGAGACTATAGGCACATGACTTAGTACAATGCCTAGATGCTTCATGATAAATATTTTTAAGGCTTATTATATACAACTGCCAGAATTGCCCTACCAAACACAATGCCAAGTTCTGCTTCCACTGGCAATATTAAATGGTCAGAAACAAACCTTCTAGTGGAATATTTGCTTCTTTTATTAAATAACACAGGGTCTGGAATGTATCAAGCTTGTGCATATAAGTTTGTTTAGAAATAGTCGAATCTTGTTATTCATAGTAGTTCTACAGAGTCAAGTTAACACTGAAATAGCAAGTACTGAAGTAATGTTCCTGGGGGAAATACAGGGGTAGGTTCCTGTAAGCCTCTAGTCATAACATTTTTGTTAATGATCTGTTTATAACCTTGTTTTATGTGTGTTTTGTTTAAATAAACCTTAATATATAGTGTTGATTTATTAACATTAAACTCATAGCCAATAGCACTATAACTCATGCCTAAGTGAAGCTTATCTAATACACCTATTTTCTCTGCAAGGCACATCGCAGCCTTCTTGCACTTAAGAACTCTTGTCAGCATTTCAACACTATACTTTGGGACCATTTAAAATAGTGAAATCACCAACAAAAAAGCGTAAAAATGCAAAATCATGGCACTAAATAGACTGCTAATAGGACACTTGTTAACAGTGTAAGAACTGAAGCAAGAAGGCAGAGCTTCACTTTTTTCCACCTCTGCTGGGAATCTGCTTATTGGGTGACTCAAAAGTTTTCATCACTGTTCTTATGTCTGAGAGTGACTGCTATGGGTGTTGATTTGTGGACTACAAATAAATTTCAGCAGATAAGCAAATTGCAAGGTGGAATCTGCAAATAATGAGGATCCATTTTGATCAGTTCAACTAGTTGAATTTCTTTTCTTTTCTTTTTTTATAGGTCATTCAAGACAGAGATATGGACTTATACCTGTAGCATTAGCAGCAGTTGTAACATATGTTGTGCTGTGTGTGCGTGGTATGTATGTTTTTTAAAACAAAATAATTTTCAAACTTGCATTGGTTTTCCAAAGGCCAGAAAATAGTTTAAGGATGAAAATAAAGTTTGAAAGTTTAGATATTTGAAAAGAAACAAAAACTCTTTTGCTTTACTTATGTGGGACTGCTGAGCATGCTACGTTCCTCCAAAGGTCCTACATTATCTCAAGGTAGAATGAATCCTTGGGCCACAGAGAGCTTTACAGGCCTGGGAACATAGCCTGGACCTGTTGCATAGTCTCCTTTTACCTGTGATCTGCTTCAAAATATAGTTAAACTTCTGGTCTTTAAGTCGGAGTTTGCTAAAAACTTCTTTAGGCTGCCACCTTTGTAATTTTCATGTCATATACCACGAATGGGGCTCCCAGGTAGGAAAGGAGTTTTGGTTGAGTGAAGTGACTTGTGTAATACAAGTAATCGCGCTTGTATTACTTCCTGAGCCTTTCTCAGTCCCCCAGCGATCTTGGGCCAGTCACACAGCTTGGAGAACTGATGACTTGGAGAATTTGTTCCCAACCTGTTCATTCCTGGTAATGAGTAATCCCTCTCAAATCCCAAAGGACAGAGAGCAGGCTGTAAATCTGAAGAGTAGATATTCTTGATGCCACAGCAGTTTCCATATCAGCCTTCACCAAAAAGAAATAGACCAGCCAGAGAATGCCAAAAAGTAAACTTTCTACAAGTGATAGCATCTAGGACCCATTGTGTCTTGAATCAAGTTTATAAACTAGTTTCGGTTTCCCTAGACCTGCACTGTTCAGTATAGTAGCCAATTAGCCACGTGTGATTATTTAAATATAGAATTTAAAATGAAATACCATAAAATTTAAGATTCATGGCCGGGCGCGGTGGCTCAAGCCTGTAATCCCAGCACTTTGGGAGGCCGAGACGGGCGGATCACGAGGTCAGGAGATCGAGGCCATCCTGGTTCACACGGTGAAACCCCATCTCTACTAAAAAAATACAAAAAACTAGCCGGGCGAGGTGGCGGGCGCCTGTAGTCCCAGCTACTCGGGAGGCTGAGGCAGGAGAATGGCGTGAACCCGGGAGGCGGAGCTTGCAGTGAGCTGAGATCCGGCCACTGCACTCCAGCCTGGGCGACAGAGCCAGACTCCGTCTCAAAAAAAAAAAAAAAAAAAAAAAAGATTCATTCCTCAGTTGTACTAACCACCTTTCAAGTACTCAATACCTACATCTGGCTAGTGGCTACCATACTGGATAGCCCAGATAAGGAATAATCCTATCATTGCAGAAAGTTTTCTTGGTCATTGCAGACCTAGACTATTTTGGGATATCAGTACTAAATATAATTTCCTGAAAATAACATTTTCATATTATAAGTTGTAAATACCATGAAAATCCATCCCTAAGTAATAGATTATCAATCAGTTGACTCTCCACTAAACAGTATTATAACAATCAGCTGAAGAAAGTTTTCAGCTATTACCCGGTACATAAAATATTTTGGGAGCTCAAATTTTAAAAAAATCTATTTTAATCCCCAAATAGCAATATAATAGTTAATTATGTCCTGAACAGGTTGGTTCCTAGAATCCAAAATCATTTTCCACTCAGATCTAATTGTTGTTGTAGCTCTCAATTAAAGGACTAACCCAGGATGTCTGAACTAAAGAGAGGTGGCACTGAGTTTCCATAGAACTTCAGAACAATTGGATTTAACTTAAAAAAAAAAAAAAAAGTCATTCAATATACAGAAAATTACTCCCATGGTCAGTACTGTTAGCCCCAGATAATCTGAAAAAATTTGTTCTTAAAAAAGAAAAAAAAAAAAAAAATTGGAGGCCAGGCATAGTGGCTCATGCCTGTAATCCCAGCACATTGAGAGGTTGAGGTGGGTGCATCACTTGAGCCCAGGAGTTTGAGACCAGCCTGGACAACATGGTGAAACACTATCTCTACAAAAAAAAATACAAAAATTAGCCAGGCATGGGGGTGCATGCCTGTAGTCCTAGCTATTCAGGAGACTGAGGCGGGAGGCAGGCAGAGGTTGCAGTGAGCTGAGATTGTGCCACTGCACTCCAGCCTGGGTGATGGAGGGAGACCCTGTCTCAAAAAACAAAAAAACTCAGCAAGCATCTCAACCTTTAAGCAACCTTAATGTCATTAATTGGGAAACAGTGAGATGTTTGGCATGGAACCTTCAGAAGAGGAAAGAGTTGAATGGAAACAGCTCCAGCTGCCTAGTTGTAGTTGACAGACAACTTTATAAGCTCTAGTCAACCCTATTGACTAGGCTTCTGGACCACTAGCATACTTCTAGGGTAGGGCGAATGCCTACTGTGGGCGGGAAAGCAATGCATGCATGTGTGGGAGCACTGTCTTGATGTCTGAAATAGTAGCCATAAGCTACATGTGGCTATGGAGCACTTCAAATGGGGGAGTCCAAATTATCATGTGCTGTGAGTATAAAATAGTAAGTTTCTAAGACCGTGTGTGAAAGAATGTAAAATATCTCATTAGAAAATGTTTATATTGAGTACACGTGGAAATAATTTTATATTTGTGACAGATTGTGTTAAATAAAATATTAAAAATTACCTTTTTCTTCTTACTTTGTAATGTGGTTACCAAAAATTTTAAATTGCTTCTGTGGCTCGCATTATATTTCTGTTGGACAGCACTGGTCCAACCCATTCCAGCCTTCCCTGCATCTTCAGCCTCATGCATAAGGTAAAATGAGCTATTTTGCCAACAGTTTTTGCATTTGGTTTTCTATCATGTTCTGACCAATTTTGAACAACTCTTTGGACCAGCTCTGAAGCCAATTTGATTTAAGCATACAGGATAGCAGGAAATCCCAGGGTGATGGGGCTCTGGCTTAGTTTTCCATATTTAGGCCTCTAATAGGCAGTCAGTTACCCCACATTTCAGCTTTTCTTTTCAGTTCTTTAATTGAGAAGACAACTTATTCATTTTTAGGTACTCGGAAATGTGGCAGAAAACCAGACAGAAGCAAGTAAGTACCCTGCAGGCTATGCACTGTGTGCCGGAACAACAGCAGCCCTGCTGTAGATGCCCATTACTTGGGAAGCCAGATTCTACTCATCTGTTGGTTGCCTTGTACAGTAATAAGAAGTAACATCAGCAGATATATGAACCATAGTGTATTAAGTACCAACTGTGTACCATGCACTGCACTAGTCACTCTCTGCATGGCATCTCCCAGAACCCTCTCAATGAACCTTGCAGGAGTATCCTACCCCTTGCTTAGAGACAGTGCACATGAGATTTGTAGAAGTCAAGTGAGATATCAAGGTCACATTTCTAATAAGTGGTGGGCTGGGATTTAAATCTAAGTCTTTGGACTCCGAGAGTTATACTGTTAAGCACTACAATACACTCCCTCCACCTCCCATTCCAGGAAAAGTTGGATCAGGGATAGGGTTCACTTCAGGAGCCAGGGTCAGAGCTGAGCCTGTAGTCGCAAATAAAAGATAGGACACAAACACAATTAGCAGCAATGTTGGTTTAGTAAACTGCCATAGGATGCTCCAGGAGGCCCCCTCCTGGCAGATCCCACTGGTGGTCAGGAGGCAGAAGCACGAGCTGGGTGTTGAGGGATGAGGGGAAGAGTTAAGGCCCAGGGGGGTGTGAAGGGCAGAAGAAGAAGTAGCAAGCCATCCTCTTTGGATCAGCGAGTGTTGAGGCGTTAGAGAAAGATGGTGCTGGGCCGGCAGGTTGGGCCAGGCTGAGACTTTGAGAGAGGCTTTGGGTCATTCTTTGGGGAGAACCGCAGAGTTTTCTAGCAGAACTATGCTTTAGTAAGATCACTCTGCTGGCAAAGCATGGGACGAATTAATAGGAGATGAGATGAGGACACTGGTTAGTAGAGTAATGAAATAATCCAGCCAAGCAGAGATGAGGGGCTGAGTCGGGGTGATGGTGGCAGAACTGAATACGCAGAGCTAGGTTTGAGAGAAACAGCAGAGGTCCTGTTAGGAAAACTTTCATCTAGCAGTGTAGGCTCTGGTGCCAAACCCCCTGGTTCAGATGCCAGCTCCATTTCTCACAGGCCTTGGACAAGTCACTTAAATTCTCAGTGCTTTGGTTGTCTTCTGTGGAAAATGGGCATAATGATAATATAGAAATGACAATGATAGCATAGATAATAACAGAAATAACTGTGTCAAAATATAGTAATATAAGTAAAATGCTTACGATAGTGGCTGGCTCATAATAGTGTTCAATAAATGTTAGCCATTATGATGACTGTTACTATTATTTTTCAAGAAAAATAAAAGCGACAGGAGCAAGTGTCCCAGAGGAGTCACACAGGAATCTTGCTTGGGAAGGAAAACTATGAATTTTTGCTTTGACAAGTTAATTTTGGGGTGCTGGTGTGTTACCTGGGTAGTGATGTCCATGTACAGAATTGGAGATGTGGGTTTCAGGATAGAGTTACAGATTGGGGCCCCTCTTCATCTGGACAGTAATTGATGCCATGAACACCTGAGGTCACTAAGAAAGAAAAACCAGATGCCCTAGGGTGATGGGAAAAAGCAGAGGAGGCAGGACTGGGGAAGCAAAGTCCGGGATCAGAGCCAGGGTACCCCCGCATTAGAGACTTGAGGGAGGAGGCTACATGTTAAAGTTGCAAAGACAAGGAGGTAGGCGAGGGGTTAAGACCTTTGGTTTTGTTGAGTCAGTTGCTGTGGTCAGTGCAGGGATGAAGGGAGGGTGGCTAAGCAGCAGCAAGGGCCTAGGTGAGGTGGGATCGATGGATGGGCCACAAGATGTCCTTTCTCCTCAGCTGCCAGGTGGAACAGTGCAGGAGAAACAAGCTGTGGCAGGAGGCCTGGAAGCAAGGGAGTCCAAGGGGCAGCTCAGTCAACCACAGACCCAATCTGGGAGGATCCAAGGCCATGAGGGGTTGATGGGCCGGGAGGCCAGGCAGAGAGGAACCCAGTAGCTGGAGATGAGGTGAGGTGGGAGAGGTAGAGACCTCCAGGCTTGTGGTCAGAGGAGGGCGTTTCAGATCTGAACAATATGCGTGAGCCCCAGTGAGAGTGCAAGAGCCAAGTCAGGTCTGTGCTGAGATCTAGGTGGTTACAGTGGAGGGGAACTCTGAGTGGTTGGGGGAGGCAAAGCCACCACCACCAATGATGGGGGTAGGGGGGCATCATCCAGGGCCATGGGGAAAGGCAATGGGCATTCCAGAACTCATTCCTTCATCTGTTCCTTTCATCACAACAAACATTTTGGAGATGAGGCGATACCAGGCACTGTGCGAGCTAATAGGGTGGGGTCAGAGTACCCAGCGAGGCTAGGCATTGTGTGGGATTCAGAGAAAGCATATAATAGGGTTCCTCCCACAAGAAGCTTGTGGCCACTCCAGGGAGAGAGAATGGATGCATGTGAGCATAAGAAACTCTTAGAAGGACTTAGGCAGGAAGCACAGGTGATAGGCAGAATGTGTGATACGATGGTGAGGGCTAAGCAACCAACGCAGGGGAGTTGAAGAGGCCAGAATAATCAGAAAAGCTTTGGAGGGGGTAGGATGTGACCTACATTTTCAGAATGAGAGTGGAGTAGAAAAGCCTTTCCAGGTGGGATAAACAGCAGAGGCAAATACATGAGAGGGAATTAAATCTGTTGTGATTTATTTGATAGTAAGGTTGACCTGCCTGGCATCGAGTTGAAGTAGAGGCAAAAGACACTGAATATTTGCAAGGAGGTCCTTGGAATGGAGTGATATGGAAATAGGCAGCCATTGTAGGTTCTTGAGCAGGAACATTTTGCATGAAAAGCACTGCTTTGGAATGAGGAGTCTAGAAAGGTAACACTGACCTCCCTAAGGTGACATTCTAGGGAGAGACCTGAGTATTTGGGGTTGAGATTGAGAGAAGAGCTTACTTTTCTTGGTATGTTTTTATTTACTATTCAAATTCTGCATCATGTGTGTTTACTACCTATTTAATAATCAGTTTTAAACTTAAAGAACCCACTGTGGCAGCAGGGGGAATTCCCTAAGCTCAGTTACTAAAGGGTTATGAAGCTGGGTGTGGTAGCACACACCTGTAGTCTCAGCTACTTGGGAGGCTGAGGTGGGAGGATTACTTGAGCTTAGGAGTTAGTGGGAGGATTTCTTGAGCCTAGTAGTTAGAGACCAGCCTGGGCATCCAAAAAATTAAGTTAAATTAAAATGTTAAAAGGTTCTATATATGGTGGAGATGGAGGGGATCAGGGGAGGAGATGAGAAAGGGGCAAGCATAACCAGGAACAAATGTGGTATTTCCCCAGCTGCATGAGGGCAGGACCAGGAAGAACTAAACCCAATTAGGAACAACAGAGGACAGATGAGTAGATAAGCAGACATCTGACGGGAAATGACCACGCCACACTTCCCACCCCGGCAGTTCAACATAGGCAATTTCTGAGTGCCCTGGTATTTTTTGTGCAAGCGTCTAGAAAACAGATCACAAAGTCAGCCAAATTAAAAAGGAAACAGGGAGCCCTATTTCTCCGAGAAGAATTATTTACAGGTGGGATCTTAGGCAGGAGCCAAGCCGGAGAAGCAGGCTTGATTCCTTCTAGTGGGTGAGGAGACTGCTGGGAGAGGGCAGGGGAGCAGAGACCGGCAACAAGCTGTCCCAGCAAGAATCCTGTGCCAGCCAACCTGGTTTAAAACCATTTCCCACTGTCTTTATCCCCCTCAGAAAGTCACACCACCCATTTCATGTTCTGTGAGGCTCCCAAGGAGGGAAACTTGTAGTTTGCTCTCCTTTACCTCACCCCGCGACCCCAGCACTAATTTCTCATGAATTCTTGTTACTGATGAGATACAAATGTTTGGGGAGCTCTGGCCTGGTCTGATTTTGAGCTCCATGGAAATAACGCAGACCATGGGGGAGGAGGCCAGGAAATGGACTCGGTTTGAGGGCTTGCTCAAGAATGTGGTTTTGTTTTTTGGTGGATTTACTCTGAGACAGCCAGAGATTGTTCTGTCATTGCCACAGAGGTGACTAAAGAGGAAGACAAGTTTGAGTTGGAAGAAAACCATCCCCAGGAGTCTCATGTAGCGAAGAAGGAAGTAGCTGTTAGAAATGGATGACAGTTTACATAGGGGTCTAACAGTCTCAGCTCTGTTTTTCAGTCTTTCAGTTATACTCAGAGAGTCGGTGGGAGGAGCCTTGGGGCTGCTATTGAGTGCAGCATCCTGAAGGCTGTTCTTCAGGTGGGACTCAGACTACCATCCCAAGAGCACTCAAGGCGGTTCTTCCTCCATCCCTGCTCCCTAGCTCCCTGGCTTTGATGAGTTTATTACAAAAGGGCTATTCACATTGGAATAGGAGGGTAATTAAGACTCCTGGTCTGCAGCCCAGATTTACTGCATTTTACAAGTTAATAATATGAATTTTTTTTTTTGTAGCTCCAATTGATTGGTAACAGAAGATGAAGACAACAGCATAACAACTAAATTATTTTGAAAACTAAAAAGCCATCTGATTTCTCATTTGAAGAGAAATTTTTGAAAAATTTCAATTTTCGAAGAACTGTTAGAAATGTAACTTGAAGCAGCTATTTTTTTTTTAAGAAGAAATACTTACAAACAAAGAACATGCATTAGTTTCAAGTGTCATCAACCTATTATATGACGGGGTGCTTGCTTTTTTGTCAGTAAATTGTTTTTAGTGATAATAGAGAAACTTTTGTAAATAAATGTAAATATGTACATAAGTGACTAGGTGGTTTGTCTATTGTTTTCCTAAGATAGAAAAATAAGGGTCACGTACCCTTTTAAAATCTATACTCTTTCTCCTTTGCTTTAGGGGAAAAATAATTCATTATAGGGTCATTCATGGAGTGAGGGAGAAAAGTACTGTCCCTCATTGGGTTCCACTGCGGTAGGTAGGAGGCAAGTGAACACATGGGTCTTTACTTCTGCTGCTTTTGAAAAGACCAGATCACCACCATCCAGTGAAGTTGTATAACACAGGTGGGGCGTGGAGACTTCTCTTGCTGCCATTCATTAGCCTACTTAGTTTGTTGCATTGGTTAGCTGTCACACTGGGAGGTCAACGCAGACAATAGCTGGAAAACCGTAGTCATAACAAATACTGAGTGGCAACCACTCCTGAGGAGGTGGACGGCGCCAGTTGCCCCCAGCAGCCATGTAAACCCAAATCAATACACAGACGCTTCAGCTTGTGCCTGCACTGGAATTCCTATCACATGAGCGTCTCCAGCCTGAAGGAAGAAATCAATATTTCTTGACTCCAAGATGGGCCTGTCAAGGCAGGTGGACCACGAGGTCAGGAGATCGAGACCATTCTGGCTAACGTGGTGAAACCCCAACTCTACTAAAAATACAAAAAATTAGCCAGGCGTGGTGGCGGGCGCCTGTAGTCCCAGCTACTCAGGAGGCTGAGGCAGGAGAATGGCGTGAACCTGGGAGGCGGAGCTTGCAGTGAGCTGAGGTCGCACCACTGCACTCCAGCCTGGAGGACAGAATGAGACTCCATCTCAAAAAAAACAAAAACAAAAACAAAACAAAACAAAACAAAAAAGTCTTTGGGCTACATGTGTTCTCTCTAGAACAGCCTGCATCTGAACTTCCACAGGCCTCAGCAAGAGTGGGAAAGGAGCCCTGAGTGTTTCCAGGAAGACCCGCATCTCCCCAGCTCTCCCATCTCCAGGTGGCATGGCTTCCTATCCTGTCTCAGACTAATCTTGTCAAACCCTTTATCCCAGGCCCTGTAGGAAGCCTATGACTCCCCTGGAGACTTCTGTCCCATGTAGCTCTGTATGCCCCGCTTTCTGCCCCCATCCATCAGCAGCGACATCCCTGATGTCCTGTTCTGTGAATGTCTCCTTTGCCTTGCTGTTCTAATCGAAACCCAACTCTCCCCGGGGGTGCTGCCTCCCACAGCCTCTCAAGGAGTAGCTGTTTTCTTTCCTGCATCCCTTGTATTCAGGGATTGGGAGAAAGAAGATGTCCTCCTTGCTCTTCTCTGCCTGCAGACCAGTGCTCTTTCCTTGGCTTTGATGCTCATGCCAGCTAATCATCACCATCTGACATCCCTTGTTCCAGTTATCTTTGTTATTCCCCATCCCTTGGAGGTTTTAGCACTATGTCAAAGTCTTCTCTGTGACATCACTTCTTCCAGATTTCGAATGCTTTCAAAACCTACAAATCTAATAGCCTAGCATGGTCTTTTCTTCTTTTTTCAGCTAGCCACCCCATAGCCATACTCCTGTCCTATATCTGCAGCATGCCCACATAGTCTCTGTAACAAGCATCTGACTTCGCTAGTCCCTACTTCATATCTTCCACGTCACTCCCTTGAGGGCTCCAACTCCAAAAATTCTTCAACCCCACTAGAACCTACAAGCCAGTGACCTTGCTACCTGTTCCCTGGCCCTGAACCCCTTCGAGTTCTCACTCCTCCTCTTACCTGGCTTAGATTCCCATTGTTCATCATTACAATTACTCTTTTTCCTTTTCTTTTTCTTTTCTTTTCTATTCTATTTTTCTTTTCTTTTTTTCTTTTTTGAGACGGACTTTTACTCTTGCTGCCCAGGCTGGAGTGCAGTGGCGCGATCTTGGCTCACTGCAACCTCCACCTCCTGGGTTCAGCCTTCCAAGTAGCTGGGATTACAGGTGTGCACCACCACGCCCAGCTAATTTATTTATTTTTTGTATTGTTAGTAGAGATGGGCTTTCACCATTTTGGCCGGACTAGTCTTGAACTCCTGACCTCAGGTGATTTGCCTGCCTTGGCCTCCCAAAGTGCTGGGATTACAGGCGTGAGCCACTGCGCCTGGCCTACAATTACTCCTTTACCATCACTCTTTTCCTCTCTGGCTTTGCCATTCTCATTTGGCCAAGTCCCAACCATGGTTATAGTTATCTCTACCAGTTTCCTCTCTGCGCCCAAACTGCTGGATGTGCGTGGAGAGAAATCGACCACCAACCTGATTAGTTTATCTTTAATTACGTCAAACATTTGGCAGATTTGTAGTGTCTCTCAAATGTCTTCATTATATTGCTTTGTTGCCGCCTCCTCACTTCTCTTCCTAGATCTTCAATCCTGTGTCCTCACTCTCAACTGATCACTTTGCTTCTCAACTCTCTGGAAAAAAGTAGCATTTCAGAAGAGACCTCCCTCACACTTCCATCACATCGACACACCCAGCTCTCTCAGCACCACTGCACTTTGCCTCCCCTCCTGTTAATCCAGGATACACTCTCCTTGCTCCTCCTAAAACCAGTCTCTTCATTTGTATTAGTCTGTTTGGATGGTGCTGGCTGTCTTAAACAGATGTTTACTTCTCATAGTTCTAGAGGCTGGAAAGTCCAAGAACAAGATGCTGGCCAATTCAGTTCCTGGTGAGGGCTCTCTTCTTGGCTTCCAGACAGCCACCTTATCACCCTGTCCTCAGTTCTTTGTTTTGCAAATGAAGAAATGGACAGAGACTTGTCTCAGGTCAGTTATATGTGGCGGAGCCAGGATTCAACCCCAAACAGTGTGGCCCCAGAACTCTCTTAACCACCAAGCTATAATGTAAGAAGATAAATGTGTGCAGTCAATCTTCCACATACAGTAGGGAGCACTCCGAAAGTCTTCTCCAAGTTTTGTTTTGTGTTTGCTCCAAGAAAGAGTCTATCTTTAATTTAGGTATTCTCTAAAGAGGTCATTGGCTTTTAACCACTTACGTTGAGCATGTAGCAAATACATCGAATACTAAGCTGAACTCTGCCTTCTAGACTCTGGAGGCTAGATAGGTCCTCAGAGACCTCATCAGACAGACAAGAAAACTTGGACTGCGATAGGGAAGGTAATTGGACCAAGGTCTTATACCTAGTTCATGGCAGGAACTCCAGTACCCTGGTCTCCACTCCAGTGCTTTTCCACAACACCAGGGTGCCTCCCCACAACCATTCCTGGTGTGGAGTGGCACCGGTTTGGGGAAGATGGCACTGGCTTCTGGGCTATGCAGCGTGAGCCCAGCTGCAGCCCAGCACCTGGTGAGGGCTTGTGGTGCTGGGCGTTTTGGGAGGCATCTCTGGGTCAGAGCGGGAGTGGTGGATAATGACAGAAGTAAATTCAATGTGAACAAATGTGTGGACTGCCCAAGCCACCTGTGTTGACGTCTGATAATCTAGAAAATGAGGTTGAGTCCTTCCTCTCTCCCCAAGCCTTTCCTCTTCTTGATCTCAACAATTCTTTTTCTTTTTCAAGATCCTTCCATGCAAAGGAAAAACTAGTGCTCATTGGAGTAGGCCCACATGGCTTGATTTGGGGATGACTGAAAAGCACCCCCAAAGAGGCAGTCTCCCTCAGCAGGCTCCTGAAATCCCACACCTCTCACTGCTGTAGATGAAAGCAATTCAGGCTGTGAACATTACAACAGTCTGCTTGGGAAGGATGGCTCATGATACCACTTCATCAGCATGCATCTGCTGAGAACCATTGCCCTGGCAACCCACATGTAGCCTGGAGCAAAAGAAAAATGTGGGCCTCTGTGGTACAGGTCTTGATGTATTTCCCTTTTAAAAATTTTTTTCTTTCTTTTTTTTTTTTACTTTTAAAAATTATAAAAACAGGTTCTTGTTATGTTGCCCAGGCTAGCCTTGAATTCTGGGATCAAGAGATACTCCTGCCTCAGCCTCCCAAAGTGCCTTGGATTACAGGTGTGAGCCATACACCTGGCCTTGATGTATTTTAATTGGTTATTTTTTTTTCAGAACATTGAGGTAGCATAAAAAAAATTTGGAAAATTGAAAAGTAGGTACATTAAAACTCTATAGTAAGTTTAAATATTTTACTTGTACCAAACAAACAAACAAAAACCCCAGAATTTATTAGAATGTTACTTTCCTGGCTTTGATGGAAGAACACTCATTAGTAAAAATTTCAAAATCTACTTCTTATTTTGTTTTCAATTGAGAACATTGCTGTGTTTGAGAATTTTTTCTGGAACAAGTGATGATTTTAAATAATTTTAAATTAACTTTAGCTCACTTGCAACTTCTTTTGGATGTGCCTTTATTTAAAAATTTGATAGTTTGTTCATCACAGATTTTTTGCACTTTGACTAAAAAAATATCACATTAAAATATTATGGATCTTGATTACTGAGGTTTTTGATGTTGCCCTTACAATTTCTGCCTAAGGTGAGTATCTCATTCCACGATGAAGTCATCCATCCATCCATCCACCCATTCATTCAACACATAGTTCTTGGCTGCCTACTTGGGGCTTGCATTCTACTGGATAGAGATAGACATTAACCAGGGTAAATAAACCACAGCACTAAGAACCATAGAGAAGAATAGAACAGGGAAGGGGTGGGGAGTATAGGAAGGGACAAGGAAAGACCTCACTGAGGGATCTTCCAGCAGAGCTGTCAGGGGGTCACAGATGGGATCCCAAGTTGGGAATTCCCAGCAGAGGCTCTGAAGTGAGAGCAGGCCCTGCACATTCACAGAGCAGTGAAGAGGCCCATGGCCCAGTGAACCCACAGGCATGTTTTATTTGGCCCTCACAGTATTAAACTTAAAAAAAAAATGGTATGCCTTTAGATGGGCATCTCTCCCCAGTTAACAAGCTCTACTCCTCCCTATTTTCTTGCGCTCATTTGTTTCCTGGCTCTGAACTCAAGCTATGGGGATAATTGTGTACTTTGAACATGTCCTGGGAGCAACAGAGACACAGGACAGGAAGACAGGGCAAAGCA